AAAATATCTTTCTCAAAGGGTTGCTTTGAGGAATAAAGCTACCAGACAGCATGGGCTCTAGAGAAAGAAAGTCTGGGTTCAAATTCTTGCTCTCCCATTTATTCAGGGAAGGTTTCTCCGATATCCTCAAACTAGACTAATTTTTCTGAGTCCATGTTCTTCCAGTATTCACTACTCCTGTTACATGATTTTCACAGTTGTAACTACATATCAGTTAATTTGTTTTATATTTGTTCTCTGGCTAGACTGCAAGGAACCATAATGAAGAAACGACCTACAGTGTATTCTGCACATCAGTGCTTGGCACACAACAGGATCTCTATATGATAAGTATTAATATCTATTTCCTAATTTAGCTGCTATAACAATTCTAAAGTTAAACAATGCAAGAAGAAAGTGACGCTTACAGTATTAAGTGCTTTGCAAAAAGTACTAAGTACTATATTCAAAACTTGAAACCAGGTCTCATCACATGAGCCCTCACTGTAGTGCCCCCTCCATATGCCAACAAACTTGAGAGATTCACACCGCTTTGTCCAGTTTTGAGCCTAAATACTGATGAAGGCAACTGGCCAAATACACATGTGCCTAATAAACCCACTAATTTACTGTCCCCCCTGTTTATCAATCACCTAACACAAGAAACTCAAGAGTTTTCAGGTCTATATAACATTGCTTTCTTATTAATGAAATAAAAATAATAGCATGAGTTTAGAATGTACATTTTATAGAAACAGTTAATAAAATCTGAAACTTAGGTGGGGAGGGAAATGTTCAACTGACTCATCCGTGACAGTAGAACTACACTCCTGCTTCTTCAAACAGAAAGTGTCCTCTGATGTTATCTTCAGGGTATCAGCGTGCTAACATGACAAGGGACTCTCCTAGGAGTCTGAGCCACAGCTCTTAGACTTACCAGCCATATTTTTGTCTTGCCTTGGGCTTGAATTCCTCATCTGCAAAATGAGGACTAAATTAGCTCTTTGAGATTTCCTCTAAAATTAGGATTCCATTATTTATATTAAACAAGGAGAAGAAAATAAAAGTAACCACTGAGTCAGTCATCAATAGCTTGTAGTATTTGGCAGAAGGCCTCACGGGTACGTCTCCCCAGGCTCCATTCAAACAATTTGATGCCTAAAGCCTAAGATACGCAGTCATTTTTTCCTGGCCTATCTAAGCTACATTAGTAAGACTGAAACCTCCCCTAAGATTTAACCCCACAAATTTTTAATAAATATATGACTTAGTAACTCTTTGGGGAAATAATTGTTTGTATAGCCTTTCAGTCTTTGTTTTGCAATCCTTAAATCCAACAAAACCTGTGAGACAAGAAAGATGAATGTTAAGTTTTTCATGCACTGAAAGAATTCCTGGAATTGTAACAAAATTAGTTTTGGGAGGAAGGTTAGTCTATTTTTATTCACTGTGTGGAACACACAAGTATTTTACTTGGACTTACAGACTTAGCCCTCCTCCCCTTCCCTCAAGTCTGAGTGCACACACACAGATACTTGCGCACTTCTTAAATTCCTGGGTCACTCTAAGAACTGCTGAAGGGAAAGACATTCCACAGATCTGGTGGCTTTGACCTGGACCAAGGGCATGATTTATGCCACAGCAGTTTTGTGATATTTGGACAACAGACTAGCGAAATTCTTCTAACTATGATTTCAACATCATAAAAGGAAATTTAATCTACTGGCATTTATAAAACACAATCCTTTAAAAGATATCAACATCTGACTTTCTAACTTGTTTCTCCTGTTGACAGTTTAACACATATGAAGCTAATACTGAAGGTATTTAAATGTCTTCTTCAAATTTCATGAACATTTTCAATCTTTTTCAAATATGGTATATATCCCTAGAAGATGTTTTCAACCTTTTTCAATGCAAAGTATTCAGTTTTCTCTAGGTTATTCTTCATGGAACATCAAAATTTTATCCTAGGCCTTTAGATTCCATTCCTCTACTTTAAAAAATAGTGAACATTTAGGTAATCTACAGTTTAACAACCCCTCTTATCAACAAATTCCTCATACATACACAGTAAAGGAATTCAGTCTGGATAGAGTTCACTTTTATTTCTAGACCAAGGTGCAAATTACTCAGTTTTTCTCTCCTCACCAACAGGTCTTGCTCTCTGGAGGATTTCTTGGCTCTTTGAGTTTGACAATTTAAGTATCTTTTTAAAACTATGTCAGAGGTGAAAAATTGCTGAAGTTAACAATCCAATAAAGTTTGAATTCTCTTTCTGAAGAAAAGGCAGACATTCTCACCTTGCTGAAGTTAAACGAACATATCTTTCTCATATGTTTTCATTTTAAGAAACCAATTGTCAAGGTAGATTCTCTTTTCAAATGTTCAAGACTCTTCAACAAATATTTCATTTTTAATTGGCTTTACGTTTTCAAAACGTTATAAAATAGAGAAATCATTTAAAAGAATAAAGTTTTACCCATAATTTGATCACATCAATAAAGTTCTTATTTTTACAGTTTTTCTCTAGTTTTTTGTTTGTTTGTTTTGTTTTTGAGACAGAGTCTTGTTCTGTCACCAGGTGCCAGGCTGGAGTGCAGTGGCGCAATCTCTGTTCAGTGCAATCTCCGCCTCCTGGGTTCAAGCAATTCTTCTGCCTCAGCCTCCCTAGTAGCTGGGACTACAGGTGCACGCCACCACGCCCAGCTAATTTTTGTATTTTTTAGTAGAGACGGGGTTTCACCATGTTGGCCAGGATGGTCTCGATCTCTTGACCTTGTGATCCGCCCCCCTTGGCCTCCCAAAGTGCTGGGATTGTATACAGGCATAAGAAGCCGAGCCCGGCTTCTCTAGTTTTTTTATTCAAATGCATAGTTTTCTTATTCAAATGCAGTTTTCCATAGTTTAATTTCAAAAATAAATGTAAACCTAATTTTTAATTTTTAAATAGAAGACTGTATATATTCTTTCAATCTATAATCATTTTGCTCAAGGTACCATAATGTAATTAACAAACTTCCTTGTTGTATGGCATTTAAACTACCTTAAAGTTGTAGTTACGATACAAAATGTTGCAAGGAATTGCTTTATGCCTATAGTTTCCCTTAAGTTACTTACTTAAAATAAATTGCCAGTGGCATAATTACTAGGTCTGTCAATATTTTCACAAGTTTTGATTTATATGAACAACTGCTTTCCAAGAAAAGGGATATCACAACAATCATAATGTAGCAATCATAATGTCACCTATAATACATGTGCACACCAATGCCACAACAGTTACCAGCACTGACTCTTCCCGTAAAGAAACAGATTTTGCTAAATTTAAGTATAAAACTAACATTTACTTATTTATTCTCTAGTAAAGTTAAACTTCTAGTAAAGTTGAAACTTTTCCATTAATTTGCCATTTATTCTTTTTATGAATTATCTCTTTGTAGACTTGTTTATCTATTAGATTCTAGAGGTTACTTGTAAACGTGGTTGAATTCTCTAAGAGGGCCAGCCATATTCTTATCTGTAATATCTGATGCAAATATTTCCAACAGTATTTTTTTATATTTATCTTAATTTTAGCTTTCCAATGGTTTTAAATTTGTATACAGTTAAATTTCTTGATCATTCCCTTGTGACTCATTCTCCGCAGGTCCAGCTATTCTGCCATCTTCCACACTGAATGTCTACACACACATGTGGCTTTCTGGCTTCCTCAGAAGGAAGAAAGTTGCCTAGTTAACTTTTCCTAGTTACCTTTATTACTATTGGGCTTTCCTCTTTATTTCAGTACCTTCCTTCCACCTCCTTTGTTCTTCTTTACTTACACACACACACACACACACACACACACACACACAGAGAGAGAGAGAGAGAGAGAGAGAGAGAGAGAGAGAACAACAAAAAGAACTCTGGACCTGGGCAGTAAGTTTGAAGATGACACCAATCTCTATCTCAAACTCCAGCACTGAACAGTCGTGGATCCCAACGTCAGTCTGTGGGATCTCCTCTGCAGCCTATCCGCCAATCCTTCTCTATCATCAGTAACTTGTTTCTCCAACATCTTGACCTCCTTCTTTCACTATAATGAACACACAGGTCCAAACGCCAAGCATCTAGCCTTTTTCTCCTAATCCTTACTTCCTGCCTTCCATGGCCAACTCAGCCTTACCTTTATCATTACAGAGCCCTCTCAGCCAACCATATGGAACCTCACCTTTGTTAAGAAGAGTCTTCTCCATGCTCCAACATTTCCCTGCACACTTTTTCTTCCTCCATACACTAGCAAACGGAGCTTTCCTTCTCTTATCAGTGCCTCTCAGCACAAGCTTTGCTTCCTTTTATGCTTTTAGAACACTTCATCATAGCCACTTGTTAATAACATCCTATCTGAGTTACGACATTTATTTATATATGGACCACTGCTTTCCCATCTACCAATTTTCAGGGATTTTGTTCATCTCTCTGAATAAATTCAATATTTGTCTAACAGGTGTCCACCACACCCTACATGCTTCTATTCTTATGGGCAACATTCTTAAAACTAGCCAGAGCTATCCTCTAAGTTTCTGATAGTTTTCAGATCTCTAAAACTATCAGATCTAATTCACATCAACCATCTCCAGTTTATGGTATAGAGTTGTAGATTTTCTACTTTAACAACCATGCCATTGGCAAGTAAGTTTTTATTTATTCTTTTCCAAAATGAAATCATTTTATTTATTTTTTCTTTCCTGATTTACTGGCTAGAATCTCTACCACAATGTTGAATAGATGTGGTGAGACCAGGCAACCATGTCTTATTCCTGATCTGATCAGGAAATAATTCCATTTTTCTCCATTAACTGTGACAACAGCTGCAGGGTTTTCACAGATGCCCTTTAACAGTCAATGTAATTCCTTTCTAATTCTACTTTGTTCAGAGTTTTTGTCAAAAACTGATGCAGAGTTTTTTTGTTTGTTTGTTTTTCATATCTTCACAGAATCATAGTTTCTTCTTTCGGCTTATTGATACCATAAACTGATTTTTTTTTTAATCCTCCCTCATGTTTATTTGTACAAATAGCACAGGAGGACCCCAGCCCCATGCAGATGGCAGCCCCGAGGGGGTCGCACCCATCCTTCTGTCCTCACGTTGACAGACAGAGATATCTACTCTGAAGCCTTTGTAGGGGCCTGGACACCTTTGGGAGCCTGAGCTAGAACTGAAGCTGGAGCTGCAGCCTCGGCCTCGTTTTGATCCTTGGACTTGGCCTTGACTTTTGGCCGGCAGAGCCTGAGCCCCTTGGCAATGCATGCACGAGCACGCTTCCCAAGCTTGGGGTGGGCAATGTAGGCAAGTCCATCGAGCTTGCAGCTGACACCCCGCTTTGGGATCTTGGGCTTAACCTCCTTGGGCTTTACGAGAGCCTTGATGGCCTTGGCACGTGAACTCATGGCCTTGGTATTGTTGGCCTGCATCTTCTTTAGGCCCTTCTTGTTGTGCTTCTTGGCAAAGCGCATGTTCCTCAGGAACTTGGGGTCCACCCCCTTAAGAGATTCATATCTTTGTGATCGGGGTTTCTTGATACCATTTCTGTGCCATTTTCAGGACTGGTTGTGTGTTGTGTGGTTCTTGGACTTGGCCATGTCTGCACCTAAGCCGTGGTTCCCCTAAACTGATTGATTTTTGAATGTGCAACCAACTCTGCATTCCCAGAATAAATGTCACATGATCATGATATATTATCCTATTAAAATATTATTGTTGAATTTGATTTGCTAGATTTTCACTTATAATTTTTGTATCTGTGTTCATGAGAGCTATTGGTATGCAGTTTTCTTTTCTTGTAATGTTTTTGCATGGTTTTGGTATCGGCTTCATGCTGGTCTTAGAAGTTGGGACATTTTCCCTCCTCTTCAGTTTTCTGGAAGAGATTGTACAGAATTGGAAGTATTTTTTCCTTAAGATGTTTGGTAGGATTTACTAGTGAAACCAACTAGACTTTAAAAAAGAAAGAAAAGGTATCAATTTCTTAATTAGATATAGGTCTAACAGGGTTCTCTATTTCTTCTTGAATGAAATTTGATGGTTTGTCTTTCAAGGAAATTGTTCATTTTCTCTAAGCTGTCATATTTATTGGCATAAAGTTGCTCATGATATTCCCTTATTATTAACCTCTTACTATTTATGAAATCTGTATTGATGTCACCTTTTTTATTACTGATATTGCTTATTTGTGTCTTCTTTGATTTTTTCTGATCAGTTTGGCTAGAGTTTTATCAGTTTTACTGACCTTCTCAAAGAACCAGCTTTTGGTTTTACTAATTTTCTTTATGGGTCTTCTATTTCATTGACTTCCACTTTGATCTTTATTTTCTTCTGCTTATTGGAGCTTAATCCATTTTTCTTTTAGTTCCCTAAGGTGGAAGCTGAGATCATTGATTTAAGGCCCTTCTTTTCTAAACAGACATTTAGTGTTATAAATTTTCCCCAAAGTCCTATTTTATAGGTACCACAGTCTAATATGTAGCATTGCCATTCAGTGCAAAATCTTTTATAATTTCTCTCTTGATTCCTACTTTGATCCATGGGTTATTTAGAAGTAACTGAGTTTCCAAATACTGGAGAATTTTTCCAGAGATCTTCTTGTTATTGATTTCTAATGCAATTCTATTGTGGTCTGGGAACATATTGGATATAACTTGAAGCCACTTAAACTTATTTAGACTTGTTTTCAAAAACCAGATTATGGCCTAATTTGGCAAATATTCCATGTGTACCTAAAAAGAATGTCTTCTGTTGTTGGATGAAGTTTTTTAAAAATGTTAATCAGGTCAACTTAGCTGTTAGTGTTGTTGAAGTCTACTACGTATTGGTTGATTTTCTTCCTACGTAATCTATAAATTATTGAGAGAAATTGAAGTCTCTGATTATAATTGTGGGTTTGTCCATTTCTCTTTGCAGTTCCGTCATTTTTTGTTTCACATATTCTGAAGCTCTGTTAGGTACATAAATGTTTAATACTATTACAGCCTCTTGATTAAATGATCCCTTCATCATTATTAACTTCTTTATCCCCAGCCTTATTCATTGCTTTGAAATCTACATTGTCTAATATTAGCATAGCTACTCCAACTTTCTTTTGACTAGTGTTAACGTGATATATCTTTTTCCACCCTTTCATATTTAACCTATTTGTATCTTTATACTTAAAGTTTGATTCTTAAAGTCAGTATTTGGTTGGGTCTTGCTTTTTAAGAAAATCCATTCTAGCAACGTTTCTCTTAATTACGGAGTCTAGATCATTTATTATTGATTTTTAGGTTTGACTGTATGAACTTTCTACTTGTTTCCTATTTGTTTCATCTATTCTTGTTCACCTTTTCTTCTTTTTCTGCGTTTTTATTATCTTTGATAATTCTATTTTATCTCATTTGTTGCCTTATTGGCTCTCATTCTTTGTTTTGCTATTTTAGTGGTTACTTTAGGGTTTACAGTACATCTTTAATCAAACTACCTTCAAGCGTTGTTATACGTCTTTGCATAGAGCACAAGAATCTTCCAATAGTGTACTTCTCTTTTCCCCACGACCTTTATGCTATTGTTCTCATGCATTTTACTTTTACATATGTTATTAACCCCATAACATGTGGTTATTATTGTTGCTTAAAGAGTTACCTCTTAAAGATATTTAAATAAAGAGGTAAATCTTATATAATTACCGATATACTTTGCATTTCTGGCACTCTTTATTCTTTTATATAGATCCATATTTCCATCTGATATCTTTTTGTTTTTCTGCCTCAAAAACTTCTTTTAACATTTCTTACAATGCTTATCTGCTAACAGTAAATTCCTGCAGATTTTGTATATCTGAAAAAGTATTTTTACATTCTTTTTAAAAGATACTTTTGCTGGATATTGGTTGACATTTTTTTCCCTTTCAGTACAGTACTTTAAAGATGCTGCTCAAATGTCTTTTACTTGCATTTTTCCAGTGAAAAACTGTGATATTATCCTTGTTTTTATTTTTACTCACATAACATCTTTTATCTGCTTTTAATGTATTTTATTTGCACTACTTTGTTCTCAAGAGAAAATAAAAAGAAAGGATGTGTGTTTATATGTGTGTGTATGTGTGTGTGTGTGTGTGTGTGTGTGTGTGTGTGTTGTGTGTGTGTATATATATGTACATATAGGTGCATGGATAGATATAAATATATATCTTTATTTATATATCGATATAAATAGAGACAGAGAAGTACTTTTAAGAAGCTGGCTCACACAATTACAGTTGCTGTAAATCCAAAATCCATAGTTTGGGCTGACAGGCTGAAAGAATCAATGTGCAGTTCAAGTCCAAAGGTCATTTACTGAAGAATTCCTTCTTGTTCCAGGGAGGCAAGTTTTTTATTCTATTCAGGCCTTCAACTGGCTGGATGAGGCCAAACCACATTATGGAGGACAATCTGTCAAACTCCGCAGATTTAAGTATTAATGTCATCCCAAAATACCCTTACAGAAACATCCAGACTAATGTTTGACTACATATTTGGGCACTGGAGCCCAGCCAAGTTACACATAAAATTAAATATATTCTTTAATCACTAGTTTTGAGCAATTTTATTATGATGTGCCTTGTTAGTTACATTTATGTTTCTTTCTCTTTCTCTCTTTTTTTCCTCTAAGAAACAGGGTCTCTCTCTCTCTCTCTCTCCCTGTCACCCAGGCTGGAGTACAGCAATGTGATCACAGCTCATTGCAGCTTCAAACTCCCGGGCTCAAGCAGTCCTCCAACTTCTATCTCACAAGTGGCTACAACGACAGGTGTGCACCAACACATGCAGCTAATTTATTTATTTATTTTTTTGTAGAGATGGGGTCTTACTATGTTGCCCAAGCTGGTGTCCAATTCCTGACCTCAAGTGATCCTTCCATCTCAGCCTCCCAAAGTATTGGGATTACAAGTGTGAGCCACTGTGCCCAGCCTTGCTCATGTTCCTTTTGTTTGGAGTTCAATGAGCTTCTTAGATCTGCAGGTATAGAACTTTCTTTGTGTTTGACAATGTTTCAGCCATTATTTCTTCAAATATTTTTCTGTCCCTTTCTACTCACCTTCATGGACTCAAATTACCCTTGGTTAGGTTTAAAGTTGTCCCTAGTTCACTGGATGCTCTTTGCATTTTTTGCTGTCTCAGTCTCTAGTAACAGATAGAATACAGTTATAATAACAGTTTTAATGTCCTTTTGCTAGTTCTCATATTTACATCAGTTCTGGGTCAGTTCCAATTTGATGATTATTCTTACTATGAATCATGTTTTCTGGCCTCTTCCCATGTCTGATAATCTTTGACTGACTGTCAGACATTGTGAATTCTACCTTGTTGAATGATGAATATTTTTTCTTTAAATCCTATACAGCTTTGTAATGAGATGCATTAACATTACCAGGCACCCAACCGAGGTTTTGGAACTTGCTAGTATTATCTGCCATGTGAGCCCAGAGTAGTATTCCACTTAGGGCTGACCTTGCCAAGTACTCTACCCACTTCCTCGTGAGTTACAAGTTTTCTAGTCCGCACTGTTGCCTCTAGTCCTTTAAGATGGTTCTTTCCGTGGCCTTGGGAAGTTTCCTCACATGCATGCATGAAATATTTTGCTGGAAACTCAAGGAAGACCCTCTGAAAATCTCTAGCATTCTCTCTCTGTACAACTCTTTTCTCTGGTACTCAATCCTATGAACATTAGCTATCTTGGTCTCCCCTTGCCCTCAGCTTCATCTCCTCAATGCAAGTTCACTGAGCTCCACCTCGGCTCTCTCTGGAACTGTGCCACAGCCTGGAAACCCTCAAGGCATTAAGCTGGGACAATCACAGTATACATCTCATTTGTTTCTCACTCTCAGGGATAACTGCCTTTTGTTGCTTGACATTCACTGGCTTGAAAATTGTTGTTGTGTATATTTCATGAGCTGGTGGTGGTGGTTGTTCTTTTAGGTGGGAGAGCAAACCAGTTCCAGTTATTCCATTTTACGAGAAATCCTCACTCATTCTTGTGCTCACTGCCCTCTCTTGAGCATCTTCAGTCTCTCCTCTTCCCCTGATGAGAACCCTAAACCTCTGTCTACTAGCATGCTCAAGAGACCTTTTCTTATAGAAACAAATATGCTTAGCACTATTTTCTCTTTTTCTGTCCATCTTCTTGAAAGAATCATCTATATGCCAAAGAGCTAAGGAGGGAAAATGATATCTATCCCTCAATTCCTTTGCTTGCTCATCAATCCCCTCATTTCTCAGGTTGGTTTCCATCCCAATACTCTTCTGAAACCATTTCTACCATTAGTTATTAAATACCACATTGTCAGCACATCCAATGCCTTTCTCAGACTTTAGGCTTATGTTTACCTTATTTGACTGGTTCCTTTGATTTCTTGCCCATATTTGACTTAAAGGATATTATATAGAACTATCTGACCTATATTCCTTATCAAATACAGATACTGTAACATAAGCTCCAAAGAGCAGGGTTGTTTATATATTTTGTTAACTGATATATCCTTAGTCCTTAAGTCAGTGGTGGTTACATAACTGGTGTTCAATGAACGTGGAATTAATTAACAAAATATAATTGGTGCTTAGCATCCTTCTTCTCTCTTTCTACCCATTACCCCTGGACAATCTCATTCAAATCCACAGAGTGGTCTCTCAAATCTATCTCCCTATCTACAAAATCTCTCTAGTCTGCTTGTCTTTTAGCATTTGGATCATTATTGGATGTACTGTCAACACCTCAAAATTAGCATGCCCCAAACTAAACTCATTATTTTTATCTTAAAACTATCTGTCATGTTTCCCTACCTTGTTTTTTTCAACAATTCACTCAAACACAAAACTATAAACTTGACTCATATGTGATTGTTTTATCTTCCTTTCCTCTCAAATACCCAGCATGACAGTCACTTTTACCGTAGCAATAACATTCCCAAAAGCACTGTCCCTGCTGGATTGCCCATACATCTAACAGGCCTCCCCCAACAGCTTCTCTAGTCTCTAGCCTCAGATCCCCGCATACCTTACATCTCTGCATGCTGTGCCTTAACCCAGTAAAGTCACTAATCTTTCTCTGAATATGCCTATGCTTTCTATCCCTACTTCTCCTCACCCCATTCCTCTCTGATTAGATCTTGCCCATCATAAAAGAACCTACTCAAATGTAACCTTCACTGTGAGCTTTCTTTGACCCTCCAGATTAGAAACGCTCTCCTCTTTTAACATTCATATTTACACCATCAAGTGTATCACATATCAGATTCTGTCTTAGCACAGAGCCTGGCATATATTAAATAAGCAATATATGTGAACTGTTTTTGTTTTGTTCTGTTTTTGTTTTTTGAGACAGAGTTTCACTCTTGTTGCCCAGGCTAGAGTGCAATGGCGTAATCTGAGTTCACCGCAACCTCCGCCTCCCAGATTCAAGCGGTTCTGCTACCTCAGCCTCCCAAGTAGCTGGGATTACAAACAAGCACCACCATGCCCAGCTAATTATATATTTTTAGTATAGATGGCATTTCTCCATGTTGGTCAGGCTGGTCTCGAACTCCCAGCCTCAGGTAATCCACCTGCCTCGGCCTCCCAAAGTGCTGGGATTACAGGCATGAGCCACTGTCCCTGGCCTATGTGAACTGTTTTTATCAATACACAGCTTATCTTCCTAACCTGGGTATAAACTTCTTGATGGAAGCTTCATCCAAAGAGGCCACCAAAAAGGCATTGTGCCAGGTTCAGAACAATGACAACTCAAAGAAGCTTCATATCCAAAAAATTAGCCAACCTAATAACTAATTCATCAGAGAATTGACTAGCACACAATGATTCTGGTAAAACATATTATTAAAAAATTTAATCAAAACAAATATAAAATATAACTTACAAGTAATATAATTATGTACAGATAATCTTTTACACTATAATTCAAACTGTTCCTCTAGCAATAGTACTAGAAGATAACTCTCATAAGTGAAGAAGAGTACACTTTGTGTTACTCTTACACATATTTTAGAAGCTATTTTGCTTGAAGACAATTAAGCTAACAAAGTTTATATAACTTCATTGCACATTACTCAAAATATATTCACAGTTTTACAAACAATCAATTAAGTACATACTTCCATCAGAAATCCTAAACCTTGGATACTACCAAACTTCACTTGAACACCTGAACTGGCATCCTATCTCTAGTCCTGTAACAATAGCCATGTCACCATACCTTTGAACTTCAGGTAATTTAGAAACAGAATATGGAAAAGAATTCTTACCTGTCATATAAGGCTGTTATAAGGCTCACAAAGGACTATATAGATTCAATTTACTTTTTGCTTATGAATTTAACAGACATCTGTATCCATGCCCAAACCTTGTGCCAGACTGTGGGTATGCAATACCACATGCGATGCTCTATCTGCCCTTAGGAGATCATAACCAAAGATGGGGAGATGGGCACATATACAAAGCAATGCTACAGGCACTAACTGGGAGATATGTGGACAACGCCCAGTGGGGAGATGGGGGAATACTCGGTTCTGCCCAAGGAGAAAAGAAGGTAGTCAGAAACAGCTTCTGCAAAGAGGCTACGCATGAGCTCTGCTACTCCTCTCTGAGGTGTCTCCACTCATTACAATCCCCCTATTCTTTCCCTCATTCTAAAATCAAGCGATGTTTCTACTCCTGTAACAGCTCCGCAGTTTCTTATCTCAATTCTAAAATCTGAAAAGTCCTCAAAACCTACACTTTTTTTCCTAACTTATTTGCTGGCAAAACCTGCCCTGAACTGATGTAAGGTTCTTGATCAACAATATCCTTTCTACTTGTTTTAGGAAATTCTAGTTAATAATTCCATCATCCATCACCTAAGCCAGGAACTGAGCCAGCCATGGCTTTCTCGCTCTCACTCTCCAAACCCAACCGCACCAGGCTTTGTCAGTTCTAGCCCTCAAATATATATCGTACCTATTCCTTCCTCTTCTTCCCCCTGTAACTGCCTCAACCAAGGCCTTCATCATCTTAGCTGCACCATCGCAGTAATCTTCTGACTCCACCTCTAACCGCGCTCCTTACAACTTAGCCCCTATGTCATGGC